CAATAAACCATAGTCTTTCTTAAGGGGAAAATACAGGCATTTAATCCGGTTAACACTGTTATTGTTTTATTAAATATTACAGAACGACAGATAAAAAAATTACAAATATCTACTTATTAAGATAGCTCAAGTGATGGGATCACTGTTTCTAAATATTGTGTTTTAAATAGATTCTTAAGCATGTAAGGTACTATACCTATATCTTCTACCAGGATATATTTACTTTTCCTCTTAGCCAATTTGGAAAAAAAGCATTATACAAGATGAGCTCAAGAGATCCATCAGCCACCACCAGAGAGTTCATTTCGTGTGGTGTTACCATGGAGACACATTTCTGAACAATTCATACCCACTGCAATTATTTAATAAAAGAATTAACATGTAACTGGAGCTGAATCCTTACCGTGTTTTTAAGATGCCCATGATAATAGTTTTTCATTTGTTTTTCTTGCTCATTTAATTTGACGGTAACGGTAAATTTTATTATACAGACCGATGGTTAGATAATTTGCGTTTCAAGTGAATAAATGGAGAATATAGTCATTTTTTAGATCATTTTGTTCACTTCAGGTCATCCAGGTATACAAAAGAATAGTTAAACAATCTATTCAACAATACTACACTTGTAAGATAGCTGTACACATGGACATACCTGACAACACTGTTTTGGCCGATTTTTTAGCTTATTCTGTTCAGTAAAATATGTGATTAATGTTACAACTTTGTCACTATCTTATCTACTCACAAGATGGATGATCCTTATTCTGACCTGAAAGTATGGGCTCCAGATATTATCTACTCTGAGCAGTAAACCTTGTCCACGCTTTGGTCTTCTGGCTCCTGCCAGACCCTGCACTCAATTCTCACCTAGTGGTCTCCCATTTCCAAGCCAGCAATTGTCTGCTGGAGTCCAAGTTCGAGGTTTGTTGTTTTGCTACTGTGGCCTAGTTCCTATTCCTTGCTCCTGTGTGCTGGTTCTCCATGACTCCACCAATCCTCTGTGCCCCTTGTCACTGCCCTGCCCAGCCAGGCAGCCATCCCGCGTCCTGTTGGTTGCCTGTTTGCTGCAGTATTTTGCCAAATGCACTAAGGGACCCTTTCACAGAAATCCTGGCAGTGTTGGCCGGACAGTCTCATTTGGGATATTCTGTCAGATGGTGTAGTTAATACTACAACTTTTGCCAAACTCCCTTACTCCAGTACAGATTGTATCCGAATTACAACCTACCCACTCGCACATATGACCAAAGTTTTTTTAAGTATCTATTTATAAAAATACAGAAACGCTACAATACCTAGTACACATTGTGTGCTGTACGATAGTTGCTGTGGGAAGGTACTGTACTATATAATAGTGTGACCATCCCAGCCACATTTCTCAGTCTCATTCTCACACCTAAAAGTCAGTGTGATTATCCTATTCCGACATACATCCATTTCGATGTAAGACCTGTCTTTCAGTACGGAAACCACATGTAATTCGGGGACAGTCTGTATGACAATTATAATAGTATATAATGTTTCATTATTCTTGTTCAAATATTCTGAAAATGTCTGTTTTGACATTGAAATGTATTATATTAAATTAAATATTATATTAAAAATAAAAGAAACCATTTTTATGAGTGGGGT